ATCTATCTATCTATCTATCTCTATTTATCAACCTATCTATCTATCTGTCTATCTATATTCCTCTACGCAGAGTCATGCGGTTGCTCACTTCCATCAGGGTAATTAACATGCAGTTTGACCGGGCATACTCCAACGTCACCTGTCTCAATGTCCAATGCCTGTACTCTCCCAAACTCGCACCTCACTACCCCAATGTCATAAAGCTAGCACTTTACGCAGATGCATCTAGGCTTCATTTGTATGCCTTAGCCTCAACAGACTTGTTATTGATGTCCCTGCACCAGAAGATGATCCTGGTTTTCCTTCTGGCGAGTACCTCATCTAGTGGACTCCTTCACTCCAACCTCCAAGGTGGACCTTCCCCTCCAGCAAAAGAAACTGGCACGAGGCCAACGCCAGAGCATTTGCCTCGGTTCTCGCTGCCCACCACCTCGACGTCGACAGCTCTCTGCAAGCAGACGGGAGCGCATCGTGTGCAATGCTCTCCCCACCATGGAGCCGCTCACCAGGGGGTTGTCCGCAGATTACCCAACATGTCAATCCTATCTATTGTGAGTTTCATGGCCTCCTGGAAGCTGCCATTCTCCTCACTCTGAGGAGGCTGAATTGAGTTGTGATCTGTGACTCCCAATAGGCCTTTCACGACTTCATATCATCTCTGTGTCGCCATGTTGGGCAATAAATACTTTCCCCACTCGCTGTGCCTCTCACTTCGGGCTCGTGGCCAATGATATTATGTACAATCCTACTAAGACTACTTGTGCCCTGCACCTGCCTGATATACGTGTCAAGCCTTCCTTCTAGTGTTACATAAAAAATGTATACTCGGAATCTCATGCCTTAATAATGCACTGAATGAATGTTAAATGTGATAGTAATATCTCCATCTAACACTACGTCGCCATGGGCTTATGATATGAACACGCAATGTGTTGAGTGTGAGGCTTCAGTTGGGGTATCGGCTAGTGTGGCAGGTGACTCAAGCAGAGGACGTATCTCATTATTAATTTTGTAAACTGTGCGATCTTCCCAGTGCCAACGTTCTACACCATCTGGAATGTCCCGTTGTGAAGGACTTCCTATCCTGCGAACGGGATCTGAGATATGTCTATAAACACTTACTGCAGGATGTTAAGTTAGACACCCGTCTTGTGAGTCATGCACTTAATGGTGGATATTAGCCGTATTTCAATTTGTTCCTGTGTGTGTGTGTGTGTGTGTGTGTGTGTGTGTGTGTGTGTGTGTGTGTGTGTGTGTGTGTGTGTGTGTGTGTGTTGTTTTTATCTCCTCTCTGAGGAGCATGCGCATATATATATATATATATATATATATATATATATATATATATATATATATATATATATATATATATATATATATATGTATATATATATATATATATATATATATATATATATATATATATATATATATATATATGTGTGTGTGTATATATATACATAACTATTTGTACGTGATTGATGAATTAAATCAAACCAGTCTTTCTCTCTCCGTTTCTATTTTTGTCTCTCTGTTGATCTGCTTCTGACATAAAGGTGCCATTTGTATAATCACGAGCAGGCAACGACAATGTATCCTGCTTTTACAGTGATTATGCCAATGAGGTAAAGTGTTCCATCGGTCACTGCATTATGAGAGTTGATTTATATATTATCCTGCACATTGCTTATAATAGTGAAACGTATATCATGTGTACAATATAATGGATAATACATTTTTGTTTTGCTTGCTTGCATGCTTGAATAACTATTCTCAGTGTTGCCTATTGATTTTCTTTGCTTCCATTCTTTCTTCCTTGCTTGCTTACTGTTCTGAATGACCAACATCTTTTTAAACATAATTACTTCGATAACCGTTTCATCACTGGTAATCAGGTAGGAATTTTTTAGATGCATTTACATTAGTCTTGGATGTAGTATCGATAATGCCATAGACTTTGGTAAAGTCTGGGAAGATGATTTAGTTCGAGGATATATTGGAGAACTTTAAACGTCCATGTGTCAAGCGTTAAGTTTTAAATGTATGTCGTCCTTTCAGATCTAATTAATCAATGTTCTGTCTATCAGCTGTCTTAAGCCTTTTCTTTTGTACAATTTGGTTGATTAATAAATTTGTGAACTCGGTTGAAGTTGGTTTGAGTTGCCACTGATGTGTTTTGGTTATTTATTTTACATTCATTTATTGGCTGTTTGATTTGTTAAAAAAAATATGAAATGATTATGGAGTGATATATCACAAGGAAGAGATATTTGGCATTCTAGTTATCAAATGATGGGGAATTTACCAAATATATTATTTTTTTTGCGTTGTGAAGATTTGATTACTACCATTAGTTATTAAAGCGATTCCCAATACAAAAGAGAGAGGGGTGAGGTGAATAAATGAACAAGTGATGTACTATAATGTCAATTCAATGGTTTTGGGTAATGATGACAAAGCAATTTTTTTTTTTTTTTTTTTTTGGGGGGGGAGGCATTATGATGACGATGAACATTTAACAATACATTCAATATGGAAAGGTTTGCTTTCAAAGCCATGTGATTTTTCTTCTTAACTAACTTTTAAGAATATCTGCGACGCCTGCCAGTAATAATATGCAATTTCTTGATAATATGCAATAGCAACATCCATCTGTGATGTTGACAAACTATGTCATTAAGGTAACTGATGCTGATGGCCATTTTTACTAATTTTATTATTATTATTGTTACTGATACTATTGTTATCATTTATATTATTAGCATTGTTATCATCATAGTCAATGCTATTGTCATCATAATTATCGTTATTATTGACATCGTCAATGTTATTAGCATTATTATTATTATTACTGTTCCTCTTTCCATTCTCCTTCTCCTCCTTCTCCTTATTATTATTATTATTATTATTATTATTATTATTATTATTATCATTATTATTATTATCATTATTATTATTAATTATTATTATTATTATTATTATTATTATTATTATTATTATTATTATTATTATTATTATTATTATTATTATTCCTCATCATTGTGATTATTATTAGTGGCTATAACAGTATTGGTAAAATAATTTTTTTTTCTTATCAATATCATAATCATCTTTATCCAAATCATCACCATGTTTATTATTATTATCATTATCATTATCATTGTTATTGTTACTATTATCACTATCATTATTATCAGCATTATCAATATTATTATCATTATTATCACTATTATTCCTATGGTCATTATCATTGTCATTGCCATTTTCACTGTCATTATTATTATTATTTATTATTATTATTATTATTATTATTATTATTATTATTATTATTATTATTATTATTATTATTATTATTATTATTATTATTATTATTATTATCATCATCACTATTATTATAATTATTATTATTATTATTGGCATTGCTATTACTATTTATCATTGTTTTCATAATTATTATTATTATTAGCATTATTACTGCTTCTATTGTAATAATCATTATTAGCATTATTATTGTTATTTTTATCAGTACTAGTAGAACTGTTGTTGTTATTATCATAATCATCACACACACACTCACACACACACACACACACACACACACACACACACACACACACACACACTCACACACACATATATATATAAAAGACTCTCTTGTACACTACCGCACGCCGATCCAGCCAGTGCATCGGCTTCCAGCACGTGCTGCGCCAGGCCTTGACACGGGTAGCTGTCCCTGCCGATGATCTGAGGAGGAAGAAATAATTTGAGGGAGCTTGTGATACTGTCTTTATCCTAGACGAGATGCTCGGAGCTCCGCTTCCACCAACGAATCGAGCGCGCTCATTGTGCACCCGCGTAAGGCTGCCGCCCCTCACCTCTGCGCATCCGCATGAGGCTGGTGCTTCACCCCTATTTGCGTCTCGCCCTCTTGGCTACATTGCGACTTTATAAGCCGCAACCAACACCACACGAGCGAATGTGAACTTGGTTATTATTATGACCATATAACGTATTTAAAAACATGGCTAATTACTTGGGTGGCATTGAAGTCGCCGAGAAAAAAATATAAAGATTTACTTATCTTCAAAGTCGAATATTGTAATTATATACAGTCCAAAATACAGTTTTCACTTAGACTGTGTTTCCCTCAGCATCCTTTTCTATAATTCTCTTTTTATTCTTACTCTTTGCTGACGCTTCCAAAGTGACCTAGTAACGCCTGAAGGAGGTGATGGTCGTCACAGTTTTTTTTTTACTCTTTTCTTCATGGTTGTTTGGGTCCTTTGAACTGTTGAAATAACGGGTCGGTACTTTCTTTGTATATTTTCTTCTTTTCGCCTAGGACATAGCCTTGGGGTCTGTTTGTGGGGATAAGTAAACATAGTTTTGGGAAGGGAAATGCTTTCACTTGTGTATGAGACAGTGTAGTGCTCCGTCCTATTTATTTCCAGACGCACCAACAAACAATAAATCGTGTGCCATGGAGTTACCCTGGTGTCCAGGGCCTCTCGTCACGCTCGACGTTGTTGTTTCCGAGTCCTATAACGTAGATTATATGGAGTAAATTTCTGACTTTTCAGAAATTTCAGCACTTTGTGCGCTGCTTGCACTCTCAGTGCCTTGATTTTGCAGATGGCAAGAGACTACAGTAGGAGTAGTCAACATCAAATCTTTTATCATATGAAAAGGATCCATTGGCTTAACCTTGGCCACATGCCGTTGGTTGATAGCCAAGAAATTCAACAAAAGAAAGTAAAGGGAAATCACTTTGGTCCTGACATATGTCCTGAAGCTTGATCCTACTCTTAGTGTAATTTTTCGTGCCAGGATTGCCGAATTCGTGTCTCCCTAAGGTTTAGGTTTTGGTTATGGTTGTGTGTAGGAGACAATTGGTCTCTTTTGGACTTTGGCGCATGACATGCTGCATTACCGCCTGCAGGGTGCATTCTCTTTCCCAAAGTAGTAATTTGTGAACTCCAAGAATCAGAGAGCCTAGAATGACCACGTGCAATAGAGGATCATTGCCTGAGTATCCATACCTCCAGCCACCAACCTTAACAACTAAATCATCATTTAGTTTTCTTTCCCCTCAGCTTCAGGATCCGTACTTCCTGGGGGAAAAAAATACAACCTCACCCCTACTACTTTCAGGACCTTTTTACTTTTTCTCCCTGATGTTTCAGTTGATTCTTACCTGACCTTGTGGGTGTTCAGGCAATCTTCGTGATCTGTGCCCCTTTTGCGTTAATCTCTATTCTAGGTTGGAGATCAACTTGTTTAACTTAGGAACCCGTATGTTTTCGTGCTGACAACCTGGGTAAAACCACTTATGGAGTTGGGACGCCAACCTAGGGGTAATTATATTTGTATGTGTTATCTTAAGTACATCTGGTATTGGTTTTCATGTGTATCCCCACTCTGATAGATTGGTGATGCACGCAGCTGTAACAATTTCCTGTGACTGAATTAGCTGTAGAATTTCCTAGTGAGTGCAACTTGCTCATGAAACACCATACCATCGTAGAGCTTTTACTCAGTCCCAGTCCAAAAAATAAATGACATTTACGATCTCTAAGTTATGGATCTGACCAAGGCTGAATGTTTTAAACTTTTTCGAACTTGGGTCTCCTAAACAATACATTGCTGGTTACTCTGATATCTCGCAACCTCTGAAAAGCTGTAAAAAGAACAGATGAATCAGTATATTTAACTGATATTCTAGATCAAACCATAACTTTCGCTGTACCTGGGTTCCCGCTTCCAGCAGGCAGATGTTCAAACCGAAGGGAAGAAGAATAATTCTATGATTCTATCAATTTTTCTTCCAAACACGTCCACGCAGACGCTCCTCTTTCACATTTATACACATACACATTCAACATTCAGCACCCACATCATGTATTTTCCTTCTACCCTTCTCTTACACAAAATTCACACCCCATACACAACACACACGGTTCCCGAACATACTAATTGGGTGGTGGCAGCGTGGAACCTTACATCTGTTCACTGCAAACGAATCTTTTCCTGAATGAAAATATATATTCTCGGTTGAGCCCGAACTCGACCAGACACACTGAAGTCTACTGGGTCTACGCCCCGCTACAACAATTCTTACTATCTTTCTCATCATTTTCATTATTGTTGTTTTGTTGTTGTTATTATATCGTTATTATAACTTATTCTTATTATTATCATTATTGTTATCATAATAATAGTAATATTATTTTTGTTATTAATAATAAGAGTTATGATAATAACAATAATGATAATAATAACGAGCTGCATAAACTGAGCACGCTGGTCTTTGGACGATAAAACATTCGACCCATACCTGCTAATTACAGTCTTTCTCTCTCTCTTTCTCTTACTTTGATGCTATTGCAACACGCTCAGTCTATTCCTCGACGCACTCAGAACTATCACCTTCGACCAAAGCCGGTACCATGACCAAAGAATAAATAAATCTTTTCTACGAACAATAGACTGGCGCTAATACATGGCTCTTGGCATTCACACATATATCCCATGGTTGTGTGTGGAGACTCGGGACCTGTCTGTGCTACTCAATAACAACAGTCAAATGGCTATGACTTCACTATTAATCTTAAGTCACCTTTCCATCCATAACCCTTTCATTTCCGGATAAAAACAAAAATTTGAATATCATAAGAAGGACAGTGAAATCAAACCCTGCTTAGTTTAAACGACCTAATTATGTATAGATACCTCGAATCACTTCTGTGATTTACTCTATTAGTTTTGACACAAAATTTTGTTATGTGAATATGTCGTCAAGCTATAAACTGGTAAATAAACATGCCAGTGGGATGGGCAGTTAAAAAAATACATCTTTATGGAACGTCGAATCAATATCGTTATCGACAATGTGAATGATAATCGCAATAGTAATGATAATGATCACAATAATAATAATGATAATAGCAACAGTAATTGCAATGATAACAATAACAACAACAAAATAATAATAGTTATGATGATGATAATGATAATGATAATCATGTTAATATTGATAATCAAAACAATGCAAATAATAGTAATTATAATGATAATGATGATGATAATAGTATTAACAATACCACCTATGGTAGATATGGTAATGATAATAATAATAGTAATAATAATGACGATGATAATGATAATAATACAATATAACAATATAAATAATAAAGATGGTAAGGATGATGGTAATGGTATTGATAACAACATCGATAATAACTGAAAATAATAATAATGATGATGATATGATACGATATGATATGTTATGATTGATATTGATATCAATATTGATCATTATTTTCATCATTAACAACAACAATAATAATGGTAGTAATAGTAATAATAACAACTATAACAAAAATAATAATAGTGATAGTAATAATAATAACGACAATAATGGTGATCATGATAGCAATAATAATAATGTTATTACTGTTATTGTTATTATTATTATCGTTATTGTTGTTATTGTAGTTG